TTTTTTTTTTTTTTATAAAAATTGTGACTTTTTAATAAAAATTAAAAAGTGACATAATGTCACTTTTAAAAGTTAAGCATCGTTTTTTTAATCAAAAATAATATTCAATGTCAATTTTATTAAAAAATAATATTACTCACTAAAAAAATGATAGAAATCAAGAAGGTGGATGAAAAAAATGACAAATACTAAAAAAAATTTAAAAAAAATCCAAAAAAGTGACACAAATTAAAAAAGTGATAGAAAATAAAAATAAAAGTAAAAATAAAGGAGACAAACACTCAAAAGGTCAAAATGACATAGAATATAACTTTTATTAAAAAATTTATGTTTGTCACACAAAAAATGATAGAATTTAACATTTAAAAGAAATTCTTATAAATAAATTAAAAGCTTAGGCCATGTTTGAGCCACATTTTTTCAAAAAAATTCTTAAACAGTAATTTAATATCATTTCTACCACACATTCTTCAATAAAATAATATTACACGCAAATCAAAATCTTTTTATTTTTATTTTTAACCACACATTTTTCATCAATACACTATTCAAAAATGCATTCTAAGAAAAATAATGTGGCTCAAACAAGTGCTTGGTTAAAGATGTATTGTTCAATTAGAAATTGACTCTGTGTGACATTTTAATAAAAAAATGGCACATGCTATGTCAATTTCTAATGAACGTCTCACAAAATGCAAATTTAAAAAAAAAAAAGAAAAAGAAAAAAAAAAGAGAGTTTAAACACCATCACTCTTCATCAGAGCTTATTATTCCTATACAAATCATCTATCATTGAACATTTTCAATGCAATTTATGGATTATCTTTGTCTCATCAAATACGTTTTCATCTCTACCCCCATCAATATATCACATATGCCTTCATTTGACACTCAATCATTATTTATATAGTAATCCTTATCATCTTTGTCCATCTCTCTTCTAGTAGCATTAAATATGGAAGCAATTCAATAAATTGACAGAAATTTAAAAAAAAAAGACAAAACTAAAAAAAGTGATAAATACTTAAAAAAAGTGACAAATAAATCAAAATATTAGAATGGATCCAATGAATGCTAGCTTTTCTTTTATATGTTGTCTTTCTGTAATTATGCCCTTGTTTGAGCATCATTTTTTGGGAAAAGAAGGAATTTTTGAATAGTGTACTGATAGAAAATGTGTGGTTAAAAAATAAGGAAAAATTTTGAATTTACGTATAATATTATTTTATTGAAGAATGTGTGATTGAAACGTTATCAAAATATTGTTGAAAAATGCATTTTTTAAAAGAGTGGGGGCTCAAACAAGGTTATATTTTCTTCTATTAACTTAGTGCTTGTTTGGTAAGGATTTTGCTAATTGATTTTTTAACCGTTAGAGATAATTTGGATCCTACATGTGAGAGAAGAATTCAAAAATGACGGATGAAATAGTGAAATAACGGTAAAAAAATTGATATTAATTGGATTAAAATCCCTACCAAACATGCTCTTAGTCTTGATAAAGCCCATCTTATAATTTCTAATAGAGGGACACCAAAGAAGAGTTCGATCCAATGCTTTATTTTTGTCCTAGTTGATCCTGATTCGACACTAACATATTAACTTTGATTTAGAAGATAAAAATTCAAAAAAGTGACAAAAACTCCAAAACGTGAGAACATCGAATTGTACACTTTTCCAAGTTAAAAATGTCTAAAGAAGAAAAAAGAAGCAGACTCATTAAGCGCCCGTTTGGTACTCATTTTAATGAGTTTTTTTTGGACCAAATCTCATTCCCCTACAGTAACAAATGATAACACAGGATAAAAAGTAAGGCAAATGTCAGAAAAGATCCGAATTGGAAAATACCGTGGAGAGTAAGCTGCCTATTCTACCCTCATATTCTAATTGAAAATACAAGTGCCAGCCACCTATGGAAAGTGAAGGGCATTAATGTTAAGTAAAAAAATTGTAAATGTCACTTCAAAGTTATATGGCAAGGGGAATGAGTTATTGTTAGAGGAAAGGTGAATTTGTCTTGCTTGGGGTCCACAATTGTTTGAAAATGTTTGGAAAAAAATGGAAGAAAACGGGGGTCAAACAAACTCTAAATTTGTTATAATGAAACTGAGAATCCATTTTATTATCGAGTTTGGTAATGTAGATTAGATAACAATGAAAAAAGAAATAAGAAAAGGTAAATATTGTTTACTTAAAAAAATTGTAAATGTCACTTCAAAGTTATATGGCAAGGGGAATGAGTTATTGTTAGAGGAAAGGTGAATTTGTCTTGCTTGGGGTCCACAATTGTTTGAAAATGTTTGGAAAAAAATGGAAGAAAACGGGGGTCAAACAAACTCTAAATTTGTTATAATGAAACTGAGAATCCATTTTATTATCGAGTTTGGTAATGTAGATTAGATAACAATGAAAAAAGAAATAAGAAAAGGTAAATATTGTTTACTATAGTGTCCACGGTCCACTGGGATCTTATATTGTCTCCAAAAATACACCTACATCAAGCCAACAAAAATATAATAAAGATATATTTAAGATTCTAGACACAAAACAAGAATGATAGATCGAGTGATATTAACTTTGTCACAGTTAAACACTTCCCAGAGTTTTGTACAAAGTTGCAGGCAGATATTTTCAAATGCACAAAAAAATGGTTAGAAAAGCTTAGTAAATTATTTACAGGAAGTCCCACTGGTAATAGAACTTGTCTACCATCCCTCCACCGCTCTGAACGGCAAGGTGAAGAGTTTTAGAAGCTGGAGGAACTCCTCAAAGCAATGGCACAACAACTTTCATGGTTAGTTTATCATGGCACCCTTAGATGCTTTCTCTGCAGCCACAACCTGAATATTGAACCAAGACTCTAATGAGTGAAGAACAGAAATGAAAAGTAGAAGAAAGTAAATTATAGAAATGTATGCTCCCTAGATGTAAAATGTATGGTTCGACACTACGTATTAAATACAAGTTTACAGCTGACCAATGTACATCATTAACCTGTGCTCTCAAACTTGAAATCTGACATATTAACTTTTCCCTGGTTCTCGTCTGTACACGAGTTACTTATCCAACATATAGATGAAATTATCATATAGCTATGCAGGTCCAATAATAGGAGCAGATCAGTAATAGCTCGAACACCACAGAGAAAAAAGTCCAAACAATGTAATTAGCAATCTAGCAACTCCCTGCCACCACAAGTTATTACAGACAAAATGTTGTTCACAAAGGCCAACGGCCTTCATATTTCATAATCTGTGGGGCTAATTTAGCTTAATAAAGCCAGAAAGTCACACATGACACTAGAAAGGAACACAAAAATAAAACATGCACACAAGAGGAAGAACTGGAGAAATTAATGCTACATTAGGTTTATAAGATTTCTTCTCCTTTGAAGATAGTTCTTCATCAATATTTCCTTTCATCTGCAACCCACTTTTTCCAGTCAATACAGAAATAGGAGTAGGAGTCAGTTGTCGGAGTCGGCATTGGTGTGAATAAGTTGGAATCATTCAGATTTTTGGATTTTGATTGGAGCAATGTTAGGGTTTCGACTATTTAAGACTTTTAGGGTTGGTGTTTAAGATCTCTACCAAATTAGAAGGAGAAGATGAACGGAGACGGAGGAATACAAATGCAAAATTGTCAGAAAAACGGTCAAAAATGGAGATTTGAAGTTGAGTTTTCCCAGAGATGGTGAAATCGCCTCTGGATGTGGAGAGAATTTTCTAGCAATGAAAAATGCGTATTTCTATCGAATTACTCTAAGGGTGCATTTGATTGCCAACATTTTTCATAAAAAAATGTCATTTTTCCATCTAAATTCTCATTTTTGTGCTGTTTGATTAACTATTTTTTCCTTGAAAAATATTTTCCCACTTTTACTATTGTGACCTAATTTTCCTTGAAAACAAGGAAAATATTTTCTTTGGGTGGAGTGGAATTTTATTTTCCATGGAATTCTAACTTCCTACAAATTTTATCTGATTAAGTCCTCTACTTCTTCACGTTGCCAATCTCCCCCCTTTCTCTCTCCTCTTCACCACGTAAAAAACCCTCTCTGATAACACACCATTGAACCAAAACCCATAAAAAGGGTACCGATAAAAAAATGGAGGACGAAACCAGAAGGAACAACACGAAATAGAGCTCTCACACAATTGAATCGGCAAGAAGGAAGAAAAAATCAAGGCCCGAACGAATCGTTGCTTCCAATCTGCCCTATTCACTGCAAAAGGTCGACAACAAGCCGTTGATTACATCGATTAAGGTATATTTCACCTCACTTTTAAAATTTGCGAATGTATGATCTTCGATGTGTGTGTATTTAGTTTCCCCCTTTGCTAATTTAAATATTTACAAATTATAGTTAATAAATTCAAATTAACACCTGATATTTGCAATTTAAATTAACCCACCTTATTTATGCTAATTATTCTATAATTGTAGGTTTGTGGGTAATTTTCCCTTTCCAAATACAAGAAAAAAAATACTATTCATCATAAGCTTCCCATGTTTCTGTTTGGAAAAAATACAAAAAAAATAAAAATAAAAATAATGGTGGGATTATATAAATAAAATAATAAAAAGAAACATTACAATAAACAGAATAACAATAAGAGAAAGA